GACAACTGGTTCGAGGGCTCAGTACACGGCAAGACCGGGTACTTCCCGATCAGCTACGTTCAGGTCACTGTGCCCTTACCCAACATGTAAGCAACAAGTCATACCTAACCACCAACGTATTCATTCATTCCCTAATGTAACACAACTTTATACTGCTGCGAAGCTAAACAACGCGAGATCTCAACAATACGAATCTCAAGTTGATATAGTACCACGCATGGATCGGTCCGACCTTTATAAAGGTTGTGTTACACTTCTTATCCATACGTTAATATCACGTTACGCAGTATTACGTAGATTTGAATCTATTATATTGTGTCAAAAGCTCAATGGCAAGCTGTTATAGTTATTACCTATTTAACTACACCGAATCATTTAATGAACTCGATAATCAGTTCATACCTGTCTTCCGGTGTATGGAACAGTTTTGTCATCTCTGTCGTAGCAGAATTTCTTTGGTGTTCATCGTGTTTCAATAATAAATAATCAACATAATATTATATCAATCTTCCAAACTTTTAAAATATAGTAATGCAATTGAATGTTTAAAATTTACTATGTAGATGTAAACATCTAATCTAATCTCAAGGAGATAATGCTACGAAAGTTACTTTTTTATTATGTTTTATTGTACCTACCTACTGTTTGCATTTATTGCCAAAATAAGTAATTATTTAATATTAAAATTATTGTAATAGAAATCATTGTAATATTTGTAATCATGTTGCCATTTTCTTCATGACGATTTATATTATTATTTGTAATTAGTTTGAAATAAATTGCCGTTATTTTTATGTATTAGGGTATGTTTTAGTTTATAAAATGACACGCCAAATATACCAACATCATATTGGAGTATTTTTGCTCAGATTCGAAAGACGAAGAATTAAATTGAGTGTTGATCATTGAATGAAATATGAAATCCACGCTTGTTAACTGTGTGTATTGAAAGTGGGTAGTATGTCAGTCAGTACACCACTCTATAATGTTGCATTCCAAATACATACAGCTCAAGTTTATCGATGTGGATTCGGTAAATGAGATTGATAATTTTAAGCAAAGTGATACGTCAATGTCAATCGCAATACGTTATTGCTGAGGGCTCTCTGCCGCGATGCAGCAAAAATTCTGTAAAGTGATATTTTTAAACTAACGTTTGTATATTAGTTTAATAACATGCATCTATTTTTAGATGTATCACCCTTTGTATAGTATTCTCCTTTGACGTACGATTAGTTTATTTAGTTAATTATCCTTGTTTGTACCGTAAATTGAAGGCACAGGAGCGGGATATTATAGTATTTATTAGGATGATTATTATATAAAACTAGTTAACACATGCGATTAGATTTTATAGTTGTATGTTCGCGAGTAATTATTTAACTGAATGAAGGAAGTATACAATATAACGTATATTATAAAATTAATGTGAGAATATGAGGAACGGAGTCATAAGAATTGTTGAATTATTGCCAGAAATCTTGGCGTTTCGATGTTTGATGTATTATTGGCAAGCTATAAAACATAATGTAATGTAATTGTGATATATATATTATCATGCTGTTGGTGCGGTGTCCAATGATTTTGTTCTATATTTACATTGTATATATTTTTTAAATACCAGTACCCTATTTACTTTTTCGACACTTTGCATAATAACTCCTTTAGTCATTATCTAAGCTACCTATTTTAATATACTTTAATGTGTATGATTGATACCAAAAATATCGAAATTAGTAATTCTACATGGCCTCCATTCAATAGTAATGTTAATTGTAATTGAATTATTGCACTTGAGAGCTAAGATCTTAAATCGTCATATTATTCACTTTGTCCGATATTGGTGTTGCAGTAATATTGAACATAAGTAATTTAATAATAAATTCATCGCATCATTATTGTCGTTAATGGACCCCATTGTATCACATTTCTGGCATACAAAAGACAATACCTAGATCTAATGTTAGTTGTATGTAAGTTCATAAATAATTGTTCTATCTTCAAGTGTCTCTTAATATAAGTATTTTGAGTATATAAATATATTCATCAATGTTACGAGGATGTCATGTTTCAATCTTAATGTATGAGGATGCGTGGACAGGCGTAACAATGCGTCCGCCATAGGTGGCATGTCGCTGCGACCTTCTCACATAAACATACCATATAATCGAATGATACGTCACTACGATCTTATCACTATCCTACAGAGCGGAATTAGACTGTTGTTGTTTTAAATGTGTATAAATTCTACTAGCTTGGAATGTATGAATGTTTGATATGAGAGTTGTGGGCGTGTTTCTATGTACGATAAACTAGCCTGCTTACCGGAAACATATATAAAATGATAAATGAGCCTAAAGATAGTAATCAAAATTATTTATGTGCATTCATCGGACACAAGGCAACACCTTATTACCGTATAGTTGCGAAATATGATGAAATATTTACAAAAATAATTTAGAATGAATTGAAGGTTTAGTGGCAGCTTTTAGCCTACCGCAAGGAGCTAGTTTATCGAACATCTATTTTGTAGTTGTCCTATACAGTGTTGGTTCAGTGTTGCTTCACTTGTTATGTATGTCGAATCATTGGTTTGTTTGATAATGCTACTTGTTGTCATACTACACTCATGTTTATACAAAAGGAAATGATTGAAGGATAACAGAGGATAGATAAAGTCGTCAGACAATTCCAACAACAAGTAACGTTATCTTGAAGGGTGATTTGTTAGCATACGAAAATATATTATGTGTCAGATAGCACTATCATTGTATTGGCTCCCAAAATATTTTGCTATTGATGCGAGTACCTACGTCTGTTATGGTGTATTATTCTTGTTCATGTTACTGTAATCTTAAAATACTGTAATGTCATAGATTTAAACTTGACGATTTACGAGATGTAATGCAAATATTATTGATTTGTATTAAAATTTATCCCGAAACTTATTGCTCGTTTTCGCCTCCTAATAAAATGTTAACAATTAAACACTTATCAATTTTGTTTTATTTCGAAATCCTTTGTGCATGTGCCGTTTACTACCTAGTCTATACTACTCAGGAATTTTTCTGGTGTCCTGACCGACGCCTGGCCACCACCATCCCGCCGTGGTGGTAAGCGATAATGCGGTCCACGTTAGAGTACGTCGTCCCATAAGCAACTTATTATTCTCTCGGGTCTTAGAGTTTAGAGTTAGACCGAGCTTAGAGTCTTAGAAAGGGGCTTCGATTAAAAATAAGCAAACCGAATGTTGTATTTACCCAAATATAACATTGTTGAACACTATACAGTCCATACTCCTTCATAGCGTCTAATCAAGTTGCTGTTAACCTGACACATTTCATATTATGGAAAATAATTCAAATTATACTAGCAGAAACAGACAGACTGGTCAAACGCCCTATCAAGTTTAAAAAAGACAGTTGAACTAGATAACCGGTCTTAAATCTATTTACCCTTTTGCGTAATTGTTGTGAAGATTTTATGCAACGATTATTATTCAAGTAGGTACGTATTTTATGAAAGTACATACAATTTCATAAAAATTACGAAATTTACCTTGGCACTTACAATTTTTATTCTAGCCTTGACTAATGACGTGCAAATGGGTATACGTAAATTGCTACATAGCACAAAACTTACATTCCATTCCCAAAAAGGGTTGCTCCAAATTAATAGATCCTAGCTATTCCCACTGCTGGGTTCCTGTTGATGGTAGCGTGATATTTTATAGCCTTCTTCGATAAATGAACTATCAGATACAAATTAAACTCTTCAATTTTATATTACAAATGTAACAAATGTGGATACATTGTTCGAACCAGTTTTATTATACAGAAGCCGATCGCCTGGCCACTGCACTGGCATGTGCATGAGCTCGCTGCCCTTGCAGCGATAAGTCGCCCTCTTTGAGGAGTGGCTTGAGAGACGCTACGGCGTCCTCACCTACCGCCTGACGCAGGTCCTCACCGCCCACCGGACATGGAAGTTTACCTGTGTCTGATGGGGCGGGAGGAAACGGTGTCATCACTGCGAGGACCGCCCTGAGGACAGACGGCGACCTCTCGCGTCCGACCCTATGCGGAGCCACCATGATGCGGAGCGAGGAGGACTGGGATGCGGTCTCCTTCTTTTGCGAATCAGTCATGCTAGCTAAGGAGGAGGAGTGGTGCATGAGGCACCGCTTGCCGCCGTCGCAAAGGACACTCCGGGCGTCGGGGATCGCGAGACGATCTCGGAACGCACGGTGGGTGGCTCGCCGCCCGACCAGAACCAGACCCGAGCGTACGGCGCGTCGCGCGCCTCAAAGAGCTATCAGGCCACCACGGATGGGGCCCAGCAGGGCTGATGCCGATTCGAAGCCGCGAACTTAACGGGTTACCGGGGCTCCGGCTCGAAGTGCAGAGGCCTTAGTACGAGTTTCTTTTTCGTTCAAAGTAATCGTAACGAATACGCGTTCGGCGCTGTGATTGGCCGGCTCCAATGAACAAACCAATCGGAACACCGAACGCAGTCTCGTTTCGATTACTTTAACCGAAAAAGAAACTCATACTAAGCCCTCCCGCTCCACCCAGCCGGGAGAAGTCATTCGATGATTTCACCCCTTAAAAAAAACTGCACTGTGCAATCCCCAATTTCAATTTAGTAAAATGAAGTATTTTCATTCGCAATTCTAAAAACAATTCTCATTGTTGTACTTTGTTACATAAACAATATTTTAGATATGACAGGGTGGCGTCAGTTTTCCTAATATAAATTAAAAATGCATGTATTTTAGCTTTTTGTGTATGCTTGTGTATTTTGTGTAAGTACCTATATTGCAATTTGTTATTATACCTAAAATGGGTTAAATAAAATACAAAGTTACTATCGGAAGTGAAAGATATTTATTGAATCAAAATGTTGGAATTATCTAGATATTGAAATTGGAATGATCAGAAAATTTGTAATTCGAATATGAATATAAATTAACCATTGTAGGATATAGTAAAATAGCTCGATTAGTTGCCGCCACGAAGACGCAAGACCAAGTGCAGGGTGGATTCTTTCTGAATGTTGTAGTCAGACAGAGTGCGTCCGTCTTCCAACTGCTTGCCAGCGAAGATAAGACGCTGCTGGTCAGGGGGGATACCTTCTTTGTCCTGGATCTTGGCTTTGACGTTCTCAATAGTATCCGAAGGCTCAACCTCCAGAGTAATAGTCTTGCCAGTCAAGGTTTTTACGAAAATCTGCATACCACCTCGCAGACGGAGCACGAGATGAAGGGTTGATTCCTTCTGGATGTTGTAGTCGGACAAAGTGCGACCATCCTCTAATTGTTTACCGGCAAAGATAAGACGCTGCTGGTCAGGGGGGATACCCTCTTTGTCCTGGATCTTGGCCTTTACATTTTCAATCGTATCAGAAGGCTCAACCTCGAGAGTGATGGTTTTGCCAGTCAAAGTTTTGACGAAAATCTGCATACCACCTCGCAGACGGAGTACAAGATGGAGGGTTGATTCTTTCTGAATGTTGTAGTCAGATAGAGTGCGTCCGTCTTCCAACTGCTTGCCAGCGAAGATAAGACGCTGCTGATCAGGGGGGATGCCTTCTTTGTCCTGGATTTTGGCTTTGACATTCTCAATAGTATCCGAAGGCTCAACCTCCAGAGTAATAGTCTTGCCAGTCAAGGTTTTTACGAAAATCTGCATACCACCTCGCAGACGGAGTACAAGATGAAGGGTTGATTCTTTCTGAATATTGTAATCAGACAGAGTGCGTCCGTCTTCCAACTGCTTGCCAGCGAAGATAAGACGCTGCTGGTCAGGGGGGATGCCTTCTTTGTCCTGGATTTTGGCTTTGACGTTCTCAATAGTATCCGAAGGCTCAACCTCCAGAGTAATAGTCTTGCCAGTCAAGGTTTTTACGAAAATCTGCATACCACCTCGCAGACGGAGCACAAGATGAAGGGTTGATTCTTTCTGGATGTTGTAGTCGGACAAAGTGCGACCATCCTCTAATTGTTTACCGGCAAAGATAAGACGCTGCTGGTCAGGGGGGATACCCTCTTTGTCCTGGATCTTGGCCTTTACATTTTCAATCGTATCAGAAGGCTCAACCTCGAGAGTGATGGTTTTGCCAGTCAAAGTTTTGACGAAAATCTGCATACCACCTCGCAGACGGAGTACAAGATGGAGGGTTGACTCTTTCTGAATGTTGTAGTCAGATAGAGTGCGTCCGTCTTCCAACTGCTTGCCAGCGAAGATAAGACGCTGCTGATCAGGGGGGATGCCTTCTTTGTCCTGGATTTTGGCTTTGACGTTCTCAATAGTATCCGAAGGCTCAACCTCCAGAGTAATAGTCTTGCCAGTCAAGGTTTTTACGAAAATCTGCATACCACCTCGCAGACGGAGCACAAGATGAAGGGTTGATTCTTTCTGGATGTTGTAGTCGGACAAAGTGCGGCCATCCTCTAATTGTTTGCCAGCAAAGATAAGACGCTGCTGGTCAGGAGGAATACCCTCCTTGTCCTGGATCTTGGCCTTTACATTTTCAATCGTGTCTGAAGGCTCAACTTCGAGAGTGATGGTTTTGCCAGTCAAAGTTTTGACGAAAATCTGCATACCACCTCGCAGACGTAATACCAAGTGCAGGGTGGATTCTTTCTGGATGTTGTAGTCGGAAAGAGTGCGTCCATCTTCCAACTGTTTTCCGGCGAAGATAAGACGTTGCTGGTCTGGAGGGATACCTTCCTTATCTTGGATCTTGGCTTTTACGTTTTCGATGGTGTCAGATGGCTCAACCTCCAGAGTGATGGTCTTGCCAGTGAGGGTCTTGACGAAAATCTGCATACCACCTCGCAGACGTAGTACCAAGTGCAGGGTGGATTCTTTCTGGATGTTGTAGTCGGAAAGAGTACGTCCGTCTTCCAATTGCTTGCCGGCGAAGATAAGACGCTGTTGGTCTGGAGGGATGCCTTCTTTGTCTTGGATCTTCGCCTTCACATTTTCAATTGTATCAGAAGGCTCAACCTCCAGTGTGATGGTTTTGCCAGTAAGAGTTTTCACAAATATCTGCATACCACCTCGCAGACGGAGGACAAGATGAAGGGTTGACTCTTTCTGGATGTTGTAGTCAGACAAAGTGCGGCCATCTTCTAATTGTTTGCCAGCAAAGATAAGACGCTGTTGGTCAGGGGGGATGCCTTCCTTGTCTTGAATCTTGGCCTTTACATTTTCGATGGTGTCAGATGGCTCAACTTCCAAAGTAATGGTTTTACCAGTTAGAGTTTTGACGAAAATCTGCATACCACCTCGCAGACGTAGTACCAAGTGCAGTGTGGATTCTTTCTGGATGTTATAATCCGACAAAGTGCGGCCGTCTTCTAATTGTTTGCCAGCAAAGATAAGTCGCTGCTGGTCAGGGGGGATACCCTCTTTGTCCTGGATTTTGGCCTTCACATTTTCAATTGTATCAGAAGGCTCAACCTCGAGAGTGATGGTTTTGCCAGTAAGAGTTTTCACAAATATCTGCATACCACCTCGGAGTCGCAATACAAGGTGAAGTGTTGATTCTTTCTGAATGTTATAGTCTGAGAGAGTGCGGCCATCCTCTAGTTGTTTGCCAGCGAAGATCAACCGCTGCTGATCTGGGGGAATACCCTCTTTGTCTTGGATTTTAGCCTTAACATTCTCGATAGTGTCTGAAGGCTCAACTTCAAGGGTAATCGTCTTACCAGTGAGAGTTTTCACGAAAATCTGCATACCGCCACGGAGACGCAGAACAAGATGGAGGGTAGATTCTTTTTGAATATTGTAGTCAGACAGTGTGCGACCGTCTTCCAACTGCTTTCCTGCGAAGATCAAGCGTTGCTGATCTGGGGGAATGCCTTCTTTGTCTTGAATTTTAGCTTTAACATTTTCAATGGTGTCGGATGGCTCAACTTCAAGCGTAATAGTTTTACCCGTCAAGGTTTTAACGAAAATCTGCATGGTGAAATCTGTAACAATCGAGGAAAGCTATTTGAGGACGATGAAAACTATAAATTTAGTCGATCGTAATGTCTGGTACGAGAAGGCTATCGAACTAGGACAAAGAACAAAGAAAGTTCGCGATCACAAAATGGCGTCATCCATTGACTAAAATATTTAGTAAAACTGAAACTAACATGACAACGTCAAACAGAAGGGAGTTTAAATTACGGTAAAGAAGATTTCGGGACATACTTACAAATTTAATACTTATCAGAAATATCAAGACTATTGAAAACTTATAATAATTATAAACACAAAACACTGCTTATTCAACGCGAGTCAGTCACAAATTGAAATTGATTAATCACAATCCTAATAGGAAAATCAGAAATTCACAACACGAAAAAGCAAAACTCATGATTGAATGAATGGAATGAATGACATGGGTTTGCCTATTGATTTTTCGAATTTGAATAACGGGCTTTTAACTTTTTTACTTCTTTTGATTATTTTTTTTTGTTTGTTTTCAAAATACTTAATTATTTCCTATAAGAATTTCATGTTTCTCATTTGATTTATACAGTTAAAGAAAATTACAAATAATATGTGTATGAGCCGACATTTCATTGTATGTACCGTAAATAGCACAAAGCATAACATAGCTAATGGTCAGAGCCGTATTATTCCCAATAGGTAAACTAGGCAAATGCCTAGAGCATGCCAAATAACTTAAGAGTAGAGTGACGGTGATGCCAAAAAAATTAGTAGCGCCTAAGGGGCGCTTATGAGGTGCTTGCTTAAAGCGCTCTATATGTTTATCTGCCTCTTTGATTATGTTTGAATATTTTTATATTATCAAGAGACTTCTCGACATTTTTAAAAGCGGAGCAGTCCTATTACTCCTGATATTAAATAGTATTTTTTGCGTAATAATTACGAGTTTAGGAGCTAAAAAACTGCAACACTGTTAGAATGATAATGTCAATGATTTGATTGAACAACATTGAAGTTTTTCATTCTATTTATTTTATCATCTGTGTTGCGGGCGTATCGAATGGAAACTGATTCTTGACTTGAAATAAAATTTGTAATAAAATAATTATTTTGTCATTTAATACGTGTGTTCACAGAAACTGTTTTGTATATGCAGCGAAATAATGTATTAATATCTAACAATTGCCTTTAGTTGCTTCCGTTTTCTATTAGTTTCAAGTACGGTCAATTATTATCTTTTTTTTCTATTGTAAACACGTTTGAGATATTTCCTAAAAATTTATATCGCTCTGTTCCTGAATAAACTATGAGTCACTGGTTTGGTTCTAACGCATACAAGTGAAGTGTTTCGGAAACAAATTATTTGTGTTTTGAAAGATGGCCGATTTAATTCGGGCTATGGGAGCTCCGATCGGACCCCCAGTAAAGGATAAGCTGGGGTCTCCATCGACAGAGTCCGAGGATGGCGGGGGTGATATCGCAGAGTTAGCGGCGGATTTGGAGCTGGATGAAGCTGATGGGCCCAGCACTAATGGTATGAATTTATGCATTGTCCTAATAATCTGCCTTGATCATTATACAGGACATCTATGAATTATTGTCCTATTGATATTATCCACCAGGTGAGAGACAAGCTGTGCTAGCTCCACCAGAGACTGAATGGTATCATGGTCGGCTGGATAGATATACTTCTGAAGAAAGACTTTGGGCTGCAGGAAAACTTGGCAGTTATCTTGGTGAGTCCCAGTATATTTTAGAAAATGTGTTATATTAACAAAAAATCTCGGGTTACTCATTTGAATATACTGAGAAAAGCTCTACTAGTTTTGTGTTAATGTGTTATATTTATTTAATTTTAAACCAAAACATTTATTGCTATTAATGTTTATATCCTAAATAATTATATAATAATGTTGTGTAGTCTATTTTAGATTTCAGTATTCAAGTCTAAAGTTCCTATCAAATTAAAGTTAAGGGTACAAATTCTTATAAGAAACAAGTCAATTATTTTAATAATAAGAATATGATGTTAATTCGTCAAGTACCGGTTTTATAGACACAATTAAAGAACAATATGTCGCGGTCACCGGTGACCGCTTGGTGTTTGACAGGTTAATGTAGTAAAGTGCATTGTAGGCCTGTATACAAAAGTAGTGACCATTTAAATACTTTTTAGTTTATGTAATGCTCCTAGTTTTATTACAAAACATTAATTTTTTAATCAACCACATGAATAATTTAATATTAACATTATGTTTTGTAAGTGTGATTCAGATAAGAAACCTGCTATTCAAACAGTTTTGCAAACATATTTTTTTACAAAGTTATCATTAAAAAATTTTAGCCTAAGACTTAATTATACATTTTTCTGACTCCCACAATAGACAAAGTGTAATGAATGAATTCCCATGGTGTTTTCTAAAGAGAGTTGCTTATGCAATAACAATGAATGAGTATTTCCTTCAACATTTGTGTACTATAGTGCAAATACATTGTTCTGTTGTTTTCTTTTGTAAACCATAGATAACACAATGAAGGTATTATTGATTGAGGTTTTATTACCAGGTACCTGTCCATAATATGTGGAACAATGGATGGATAGTATTTTCAATTGATGTACTTGTTCTAGAAGGATCAAATTAGCTTTAAAAGTCTAATTTTTTTTCTATTTACTTACATCTATGAACTTATATTAATGTACCAATACATTAAATAAGGATTTGACATGACAATTATTGTATTATTTCGAATTGGTATTCTGTTTTGGTACATTTAGTACAAAATTAATCTTATTGTTTGAATTTTGTCCCTTAACTACAATGTTACTTCACATCACATAAACAATCAATGTCATAACAATATTATAACACTATTTTTCAATAAAGGACAAAAAATAAAGTAAATACACTTTTTAAAAATTTAAAATCTTTATAACTGCTGTACATGCTGCTTATTTGGACCTTTGTTCATTAATTAGCAAGTAACAGTATGGTAGGTAGTGATTAAAATCTAAGTCAGTAAAGAAATTATATATTTTCAGTACGAGAGAGTGATCGAAAACCAGGATCATATGTCTTGAGTTACTTGGGCCGCACTGGAATCAATCATTTCAGGTAATTATTGTTTTGTTAACATAGTATGCAGTTGGAGTCTGACATATTCTTGGGTAGAGGGTTGTAACTAGATGCGCATAGTGTATGCCGCTCTCCAGCTAAGTGGAGTGGAGTCGAATGATATCCATTGTTAGTTACTGAAGAGAAAATTACTAATGGTAGATTTTCCATTTACGTATTTAATGTATACAAAAACATAATCAAATATTTCCTCTTTATAATATAGAGTCAAGAGTCATATTAATTGTACTTACAATAAATGTTCGAATAACAATGGCCTAAAAACAAAATTTTACTAAGTTTTTCCTGTTTATGGTTTAATTGATACAGAATAACTGCGGTATGTGGCGACTATTATATCGGCGGTCGTCAGTTCGATTCACTGACGGAGCTGGTGGGCTTCTACAGCCACTGCTCGGATCTCCTGAAGAGGGAAAGACTTGTGGAACCCGTGCCACCACCTGAACCTGTTAATGATAAAAAGGTAAAACTTAATTAGTTGGTAAAAAGTTCATTATATTGATAACTTCACATCTGTTTATTCTCTCTATGAATATACATATAGTATTTGTACTTCTATTTTTTGCATTGAGTCCTATGTGACCAGCCATGGGATTCCTAATTGACGAAAAACGAGTATAAATTTTAAAGAAGACGTAGCGGCATCGCGTATAAACATTTTTATTTTTTTGACAGAGAGTAGTAGCCATACTGCCTTATACGAAGATGCCGGACACAGACGAGTTAACCTTCCAAAAAGGTGATATATTCTTCCTCCACAATGATATGGGGGATGGCTGGCTCTGGGTCACTGCTCATAGGTAAGTTAAAGTAAAATTATTTGAAAGTCAATCATTGTTCTTCATTATCTTTTAAGTATCACTCTTAAGGCTGTTTTCACCCTTTTGACTAAGAGTTACTTAGCGTCTTCACGCTAAGCACCCTTACTTAAATTCGTTTTCTTCACGGTCTATCGGTTATATTGGCCATTAACAATATTCTGGGTTTAAACCTCTGTCTTTTTCCGAGTTATACCTATGTACTTTCTAAGATTATATCGACACCACTGACAAACGGCGAAGGAAAACATAGTGAGGAAACTGACGGACTGACTGACAGACTATTATTTATTTTGTATTTGTTGACGTTTCAAAAGTACCAAACTATGGTTTAATTGAAATTAATGCTTTGACTTTGACTTTGAAATCTAGACTTTAATTTCTGATTATAAGTTTGAAATCGCCCACCCGCATTGAGCAAGCGTAGTGATTAATGCTTAAACCTTCTCCATGCGAGAAGAGACCTTTGGTCAGCAGTGGTTGTAAGGTAAAGTACCTTTACATACAAAAATAATAAACGTGACTTAATACATGTTCCGTATTACAAATACTTAGTACCTAGTTCATTCAAGCTGATAATGGCCCATATCTAACTACGGCATCAATGCTTCCGTTTATTTTTCGATATCTCATATCCTGCTATTAAATGTGTATTGTACAATGTACAACTAATGCGTAGTTCCCTCCAAATGCTTTGTTTAGAAAGGGGCTACCGGCCATAGTACAAATATAGCTCGAATGTGTGTAATTTCAATTTTATTGTTTTGAAATAAAATCTAAAATAGATTGTACAATTTTTACAGTTTTGGGGGTGTTGCATTTTTGCAAGTCAATGGTCTTAATACGAGTATGTGTTGGACAACATCATTACAGTTTATTTAGGTTATATTATAAAGCGTTCTACACCCGAATATTGAAAGGCTTTTAGATTTTAGATTGTACTTAAATATCGTGCCATCTCTATCATTTTATAAAGAATTTGTAGTGACAGAATTATAGTTAGGCACGTCTTAAATTTGAGTATTTGTACATTACTATAGATACTAATAGTTTCATTGATATAATGAGATCCTAGATACTTCTTCCTCAATATTATTGGTTGATTGAATTTGAGTCTATTACGCTGATCAGAGACAAATGTGTATTTATTTTCTTTATTTTCTTCTATCATTAATTTGTATGATTTCTCAATTTTTTAAAAGTAATATTGTTTATTTAATTGGATACCCATTTTACAATATTGATAACTGCATAAATATTTACAGCTTAAAATAAACTATTTAATATAAATATTTACAGCAAATATTAACTATAACTAAACTATTTAATAAAACGAAAACAACAACAAAACTATCTCAATTATTGTGGATTTTAGGAAAACTGTACTTCTACATAGCTGGAGCACTATAACTATTTAATTAATTGTATTTATAAATACCGCCCGATTGTTTTTATACATATACGACGGGTTTTCCTTCGTGCAAATAAGAATATGTCTTTTGAGTGCGTACCTAACAATATTTCCTTTTTATCATGTTAAGTAATAAGTACAGATGGTGATTCAATGGAACTTTGTATAAATGTAATGTGCTATATTTAGCTCCGGTTTTTTCTGTTGTTATTCATATAGTAAATTTGTCTTTAGTGTTTTCCGAAAGGAAAAGATCATTAATTATACATGACTACATCTTTGAACTATGAAATACTCATACAGAATTGTTCATAAAATTATGGAATTAAATCCCAGTATTACTTTGTTTTGTTCAGTAGGTAATGAACCACGAAATTTTTTGCCCTTACAATCACTATGCCCAATAGTTGATTACATTTAGAAGAAGTAATTTATCAAGACACATTTTCATCTTTTTCCAACCAGAACTGGGGAACAAGGAATGATCTTCAGAGAGTTGGTAGAGGACCTTGATCCTTCAATCGATCCTAATACTGTCTTCTCATGGTTCCATCCGAACTGCACCAAGAGTGAAGCAGTCGACATGCTAGTCAAGGCTGGTCCAGGGAGCTTCCTCGTCAGACCCTCGGACAACTCACCCGGAGACTACTCCTTGTTCTTCCACATCAATAACCAGATTCAAAGGTTCAGGATAGAGAAGAAAGGAGTCAGGTATCTCATGGGAGGCAGGACCTTCGAATGCTTGGATGCTGTCATCAATAGGTACAGGAAGGAGCAGATTGTTGAAGGACATACTTTAGGACAACCGGTAAGTAGTCAAAAATAATATAAGATACAGTAGAAGCTAGTTAGCTTCTGCCAGCATCTTCGCCCTTATACAGAGTTAAAGAGAAACCTCTGTTAATTATTATGTTTTCGGCTTATGTAACTGTTTGACGAGGAATTCGACTAGTTTCAAGCCATGCTAGAGGCGCGCTGCTACTGTAGTAGAGTACTGGATGAGCAGCGCGACAGTAGCCGCGTCACGTGGCGTGGAATGCTGCTCATGAATATGAGCCTCTAGCATGGCTTGAAACTAGTTGAGTTTCTCGTCAAACATTTACGTGAGTAAGCAGAAAATATAATAATTAATTTAGTATGTCTCACGAATGTTTTAATATAAACATAACCTCTTTGTTGTGAACATAACCAGACCATAATCTATCCCTGTTTTAAGTTTCCTCCCGATCCCTTCAACTGTTTTGACATGGTTAACAAACATACACACAAACTGACAAAATTTCCCATTTATAATGTAAAATATTAGTACGAAGAAATTAGACCTTGAAAACATTGATTACACAGTATTCCTTCCTTATTTACTTGGGACATGAAATTGCAGTATGAATATAAAATTTTGCACCAATAACATACTTTATTATTATCATTGTACACAAATCGAATCGCTCGCTATCACGAATGAATACAAAACAAATTTCGATACGATAAGATACGATTAGTATCGACGGTTTTGCGCATTATTTTATCTGTTGATCATTCATAAAAGAACGATTGTACAGACAGGAATTAATTGTGTTAAAATGATAAATTGTATTCATTACGAGAATTTTTTTGCGGTAAATTTTTTTATGCTGGTTTGGCGTCTTGAAACTAAACCCTTTACTATCTGGATTTAGATAATTGTAGATTAGAAAGCATCTCTTAACAAAACTCCTTTAAAACAACATTTCAACCTATTTTAAACCTTATTACAATACTCTAAAAATGTCTTTTCCCATCAGCTGATTGCAGAAGGCCATGTGATCGAACCGCAACAGAACACAACTGGGGCAGCGGCTGAGAAGATTTACGCTACACTGCGAGAATGTCGTGACCAGATAGGCCTCAAGAAGACTAAAGGCATCAAACACCAAGGCTACTTAAACAAGAAGTCGGATAAGGGAGCCAAGAAATGGAAGGCTTTGTACTTTGTCCTTCTGCAAGAGGGGACTGACACGCATCTGTACTTCTATGACTCTCCAAAGAGGACTAAGCCTAAAGGACTGATTGATCTCTCCTGTGCCTATCTATATCAGGTATTTTGAACCTTATTTACTGCTAAATAGTGGATTAAATAAGGTTGATATTCGCTTGTGTTATTTTAAAAACCATTCTGCATGTACATACATTTGATTATATGAAATCAAAGTCGTCCTATTTACTTGTAATATGTATTGTATGTCCTTGATAAAGATATGAAATCAGCAAACATTAATAATGACTGTTATTCCCCAATGAGAACATGTAATTTCTTTGATAACTTATACTTATAGGCGACTATACCTATAATTATCGCCATGTATGTTATTTCCAGTGCCACGAATCGCTCTGGGAGCGTGAATTTTGCTTCCAACTAGTCGAGCGAGCGTTGCCTTGCTTGTCGACCCATACTTTCCTCGCGGCTAACTCCGCCAGCGAGGAACGCGCCTGGCTCGATGCCTTACGACCACTCTGTGTGCCTCAGCAAGCTAGACATCAGTGCAAGGTAATTTGAACTGTAAATTATTAGATTTTAAGGAGCTATGACGTTAGTTTAGTCAGGTGTAAAACTTGTCTCGGTCTAATAGCGATGTGGGCCAGTGAAAGACTTGATTAGCACTGTCTGTACTCGCTGTACGGATTGTTTGAAACGAATTTAAGTGGTTAGAAAGTCTATTTGACATGTAGTTTATTTGACAAGTGTTAGGAAGTGTGTGTGAGTTGTTGAACCTTATATTAATATTTTCGTTTTAGAAACTTGACTTTAACTTCTGTGGAACTCTTACTAATGTGTTTGATCGTATATGTATATAATCTGCTATGGTTCCGGTACAGGTGGCCCGCGTGGTGTGGCTCCGTGCGCTGCGCGTCCGTTGCCTGACGGCGCACCGGCTGCCGGCCCGGCTGGCGCCGCGCCCGCACCTGCGCCTGGCACTGGGCGCCGCCCCCGTCGCATCCACTAAGCCACGCCCATCTCCAGACCCACACTGGGATGATGAATTCGTTTTTGAGTAAGTACTATCTCTCTTTCATCTATCCACATAAATAAAGTCTTTTATTCGTAACCAAGGAAGGAAGTAGTACTCAAGTTTTCATCATTTCAATATTTATAAAGTAACCGTGAGCTTCATATCTGTCTTTCACCATACAGGTTCTAAATGTCGTGTTGTTTTTGTTTTCCAGCGATGTGCCTCCAGATGTAACTTCCTTCACGATCACGGTTCATAATACGGGCAAGAGAGGAAAGGAATCTGAGGTGAGACAAAGCATACTACATAGTTACTTATTCCATTTCACTCTAATAACAACATCATCGAATTATACAGTCCCACTGTTACTTCCATTCTATACAGTCACATAAATGTGGTGGTGTTTCAGGTCGCAGAATTAACCATCGAACTAGCGAATCTCGCGAATGGCGAAGAAATCGAAGAATGGTATCCGCTGGCGGGCATGACTCCGATCGGAGAGTGGGGCTCTCTAAGATTGCGTATAAGGTAACTATTAACTCATCTATGTTCATGTTTTGACGTAGAAAATTTCTGTTTTGTTATAATTGGCCGGCCTCGACCGTAATGATACTACGGGCTAATAGAAAGTCGGCGTGAAAGAATCAAAGCGTTATATTTCGCCGTATGAGTAAGGTCACCGAACTTCTAAATCCCTTATCCAAAAAACCAACATTTTGTAACTGCACTGTTGTCGTGGAAATTATGAATTGGTATCAAATTTTGTGTTAAAATGAGTTAATTTAATCGTTTTCTATCTTCTGCAGATATATGCAAGAACTGGTGATGCCTCGAGAAGAGTACAATCCATTGCGTCAACTTCTACTGGAGCCGGGTCTACCAGCTGTCAAAGCTTTGGCGGATCTCTGCCGTACTGACAGACAACCGTTGGCTACTTGTGAGTATTTATTATTAATCTATTTGATGGGTTTATACTGGAATACTAAAAAGTTACTCAATTTTAAGTCGTGCTTAAATATCGTGCGATCTCTGTCATTTCACAAAGAATTCGTAGTGACAGAACTATATTTAAGCGCGACTTAAAATTGATTAACGTTTCAGTATTTAGGCATTAGCGATGTACTTTAAAAGCAATAGTGCGTATAGTATAATGTACAGAGAGAGTAGAGGGCTATATAAGAATAGGGTAGATGACTGATTTTTATTTGTTTTTACTGTCCGTCTGGTAGATTATTTTAAAACATTGGACATGCATTTTTTTATTTTCTTACGGAAACGAATAGTTTCGAAGTTATACTCACTTGAAATATCGCATGGCGTCACTTTTGAGTTACGATTTATACTCTTAAATGACGTAGCTACCTCTTATTCCTAAACTTTGATTCATTTTATTTAAGCATTGTTTTCTTATACGACAAAATAAAAAAACGTGTGTAATATTTTTTCATTACCTAACTGACGGACTAATTAGATTTTTAATTTTTGTAACCTCTCGTGCATTTAAGAGACAATTTCTTTTATCTTCCTTAGGCTTCACAGTTACTTATTATTCTATTAGCTCAATAACACAAAGTGGATCTAGGCCTCTGATTCAAGAATTTGCTATTTTCTCAGTTCTTGGTATCATATCCACTTCTACATCTTTCAAGCGGTATGTGGTCGACCCACAATGAGAATAGTATGAATAATGTAAGGCACGTGGTCCGCAGCGCTGCTGCACGCGTTCACGGAGTGCGGGCGCGGCGCGGAGCTGGCGCGCGAGCTGGTCAGTGCCGAGGTGGCGCGCGAGACCGACCACCGCGCCATGTTCCGCGCCGCCTCGCTCGCCACCGCGCTCGTCGACGAGTTCATGCGGGCGCACTGCAAGCCATTCCTGCAGGTACGCTCCACAACTTGCTATACTATATGGAAGAACAGTATAATATTGTTATTGAGGAAAAGTACGAACAATAAAAACAAAATTGCCCAAATACTACACCCCAATATTGTATGGAACCAGTTATTTACTTTAGCAGTTCACATGCACATTCAACCTTAAATCTCCTATATTTTTTGACGTGACAACGTCTTATAAATTGGTTTGCCGGGTGACACTTCAAGAAACTGCGTTACGCTCCGCTCACGTTATGCGCTCACAATGAGAGCGAGTGAGAGGCACGCGTCCCTTCCACTCGGGCATGGTTAGCCCGCCTAAGAGCGAGAGAGACAGACATAATATTTTACCACTCAAAGTCGTTGTCACGTAAAACTTTCGACCGTATACCGACTTTACAGGCAACCAATTTTTTTCTAGTAGTGATACTTAAACGATCAATAATTTTTGAGTCTACAAACACAGTCGCTTTCTGCGACAAATAAATAGCTTGCTTTTGAAATCTTTATCTGTCTAGTCTGTTTATCAGTGTCAATTCCCAATAGGTAAAAGAATCAAAACTGATTTTGTCATAGATAAGTTATGGACTAGATAGGTATGAAATAAATACTAAAATAATAATATACTCTTCTTGTGCTTTGTTTTATCTGGCTATTATCGATTCCAGGCGGCGATTTCGGAAACCGTACAGAGATTAATCGACGCGAAACAATCGGCTGAATTGAATCCTACGAAAATGGACTCACCCGACGATGCGTGTAACAACGCTGAATTCCTTCTCATGATACTCGATCAGGTTTGTTATTTAAATTCATATTTAACTATTATTCATAAAGCTACTCAAGAAATTTTCCTAATGTCTAAATACCGTATTTCCTTTATTTATTTACTTCACAATGATAAGGACAATTCAAGTTTGAGTTATTTTTTTAACAAAAATGGTTCCAAAATATAGATTTTTAAATCAGATTGGTAGCTTACAAGATATAAATAGAACTGTTTTACTAATGTTGTCGATTAAATGAAAAAATGGCGTTTTTCAATGTTTTTGTAAAATGTTCTCGTTTTACGTAATAACAAGATTTTTTATATGTAATAACGATACTTTAAATAGTTCACGCCAAGTTCACTAGATGTCACAACTGTTATTTCGATTCAAACGAATTCAAACGCTTGTATGTACTGTAAAATTTGTCCTTTCTGTACTACGTCATTTTTGTATTTAACCGACGATGTGCAGGCCAGAAACACACACAAGAAATGGACTTGTTTGACTTTTGCTGTTTTCGTAACGCAAATTATGTTGTATTGTAGATAACTCTGTCGATCTTCACGTCCCCGGAGGCGTGTCCCCGGCCGGTGCGCTACCTGTGTGGCTGCCTGCAGCGCGCCGCCGTCGCCAAGTGGCCCAATGAACGCTTTGTTAGGACCAGGGTCGTCTCCGGTATGTAATGTTTAAAAGTAGACATATTATAATGTTAAGGTAATTGGTTTCAGAGATAAATGCCGTTAAAACTCAGTAGTATGTATTGCTTGAAGATTTCAATATATCAGTTGTAGAACTATAAGCAAATAGTCCCTGGTGTAGCATTTAGATAAAGAAACCAGTGTTTCATTTGACAAACTGACTTACATTTTCACGTGTAAATGTAGCATAGGATGATGTAAACTAAAGAATATTCTATTTTATTTATACTATTATTACAGGCTTCATCTTCCTCCGCCTGATCTGCCCTGCACTAGTGGAGCCCCGTGGCTGGGGCCTGGTGTCGAGCTCCCCGCCGGCGCACGCGCAGCGCTCGCTGCTGATGGTGGCCAAATGTCTGCAGAACCTCGCCAACCTTGTGGAGTTTGGAGCCAAGGTAATACCACCCTGCTTTTGTTATTTACTACCAATATAACTTGTTATATTTTGTACTACAAACGTGAAATGCTAAGTAACTGAATCAATATTGGTATAAAGTTTACTATTGTATAACGTTTTTGTGACATGTGAGATGATAGTTTTTTTACTATTCGTTATCCTGACGTATTTTATTTCTGTTTACGATTTCTTTAAATAGACATAGGATAAATCCACTTCATATCATCGTCATCAGTATCAGTCGCTTCCTGCTTAATGCAGGAAGAGGCCTTTACAGTGCTACGCCAGAGAGCTCGGCCAGTAAACATGTAAAATTTCTACTTTAAACACTCGTCTTATCATTATTAATATTTAACAGGAGCCATATATGGAAGTAGTCAATCCATTTATTCTCAAGAACAAGGAGCGAATGGTCGTGTTCTTGGATCAGCTGAGCAATGTGCCTGACCCTGGAAACCCACCACCAAATACCAACAACAATTTTGATATTGGTAAGAAAGATTAATCATTCTATTGGGCTTTTTAGCATTGAAAAAAAAAGAAAATGTCTTTAAAGTTGATTTTTATATAATAAGCAGACATATCGTGCATTACACTTGCATTGAGGAAAAAACATAGTATTATAGACTTTATTTGTTCTCATTGTTTATCTTATTTCAATAACATTCTCCTTTACAGCTAAAGAACTAGCAACTCTGCATCACATATGCGTCTCTCACCTGACTGAGTTGCAAGGACTGGCGAAGACTCAGCCGGCTATAAGGAAACTGGTGACCGTCACTGAGATGCTCACCAAACATAAGCATAAGTATCTCGAGATGATCAGATAGGATACAACTACTTATACACAGGTAATTTGGAAGTGTTGTATTTTTTACTATGTTCACTGAAGTCATAGGTATATTTTACTTGGATCCTATTGGACTAGTCTTATTAGCTCTCTGACAGTCCTTTTTATCCTATCCAAGTGTAGGCTTCATGAGGATTTTCCGGGTCGTAAAAAAAGTATTTTAATTAAATTATGCTATGTTTTGTACAAGAAATTGTACTGGGATTTCAATGTAGGGTGTGAATTAGACTATGTTTTTGATAATTATTTTCAAATTGTAAATCTCAAAATTACTTTGTTTATATACTCGACATTTTCTTTGTTGCAGGGTAACAAGCAGTAATTGTATCGGACTATCGGTAAAGGTAGCGGCGGACGTAAGTCTTCCGATGTAGGAATAAGGAATTTCCCATAGTCGTTCATGCATAGTCATTGTTAGCTTTAGTCTTATTACTTTATACGACAAACTAAGCGTACATATTTAGTTTCAAGCTTATTCGTGCCAAAAGTTTACTTTTCTAAGTGCATTTTACATACACTTATAAATCCACTGACATTGATGCGATTTTATTTAAAACTAATATTAATAAATAAAAATTCTGCTCTCTAGTATTACATAAGACTTATTTATTGATTTTATTTCAATCAAACGATAAAAATATGATCAAACCTTTATATACTTAAGTTAAAACGAGCATTTATTTTAGTTTTAAGAATATTTGAGCACAATATGCTCTATTTATATTATAATTCAGTATTTATTTTTACTGAGAGGTCTTCTTTGATTGAGGTAGCTGCGTCTTTTGTGCTACAATAAGATTATACGATTATATTCTTAGGCGTCAAAGTTCGCCAGCAATAATGAAGTGAGAACATCGTAATTATGAGAATACCTCTTACTGAAAATGCTTTAAATCGTAAAGAATAGAATTAATATTAATTAATCCTTTTATACTATTCGATTATTTAGATTTTTTGTATTTTATAGTCCGATTATTTTCGTAGTGTATCTAGATGTAGATAGCTTTAGGAGTAAAGCTCGACCATCATTCTTAAGACACCAAAAATGTACTAGGTAAAGTGTATGAATGTGATAGACGTGAGTCGTGACTCATAGACTGGTGTTGTTTGCTAAATTACATTTTTGAATGTTGCACTTACAATCATTGCTGTGCACCCAACTATATTGATTCTCTGTGATAATGTCTCAATAATTTTTCATTAAATTTTGCATTTTTTTAAAATGAATAATGATTTTATTCAAACTTTGATTTTATTACTTAGGATTTTATTACAATTTTAGGGTGCCTACAGATTTGTTTAGTTTGTTCAAATATTGTAAGTAAATTAGACAAATCTGTAAATGTGGCTGACTTGAACTCGTTCCATACTTCCTACCCCTCCTCTTGCTCAATAAATGTGTTGTTATTGTAGACAGTTTATATTTCTAGTGCCATATATTCTGTACTTATTATACTCGCACTCGCTTTCACATCACAATTTGATTAAGCTGCTATTTTAAATCTCTGCAGATTTTAATAAAATACAAGTACGCAGGCGACGCGACGCTAGTTTCAAGTATTTCTAATATAATTTATTTACTTCATAATAGACGTAAAAGACAGAATCAGAGAGCATTATTAAAGTATATTATGAGTATTATTATACTTAATTTATTTTTGTAAAATGATTTTATTTAATTGCAAACGGATATTGATTTAAATTAAGGATTTGTTATGAAACCGCCTTTTTATTGTTATTATGGCTTTTTAATACTGGATAGTTGTACAATCGTGGGTTATTCTCAAATGACTGCAAAACGCGCATCAATGCATCGAAGTTGATTTATTTATTTAGTTGTAGCTTGTAGGAGTAGTGGATGTGTCGTCGCTGTATTTAAGTGTGTTTAGCTTACGATAGGACAATGTCTAGACTGAATTAAGCCCAATTAGACATGTTAGTATTACGTATTATGCACTAGATTTTCCACAAAATTGTAACAAAAAGTGATAAGAATTTGCAATATTCGGCCGATTTGATAAAAATTTTGTACTGAAATTCAGAGATTATATCCATAGCATAGGAGTTGATATTGTTAATATTTTGAAACATTTTACAATGCTTATGTTTATTTTATTACATTTTTTAGGCATATTGACGAAGTTTATAGGCTTATTGGAATTGCTGTTAGCACAGATCACCAATTGAAGTTGTTTGATAATGTCATTGGTTCTATGATTATTTATTTGAGACTAATGAATATTTATAATGATATGTTAATTTAAAATTCAATGTAATATTTGCAAGCATGTTTATAGAATCACAGTTTTATTATCGGCACAGTTTGTAAAGTGATTGCACTAGTTAATACCTGCATATCACTCGGCTGATGCTTACACTCGCTATTTATGTAATTGAAATCATTTATTTGTTTCATTATGGTTATTCAGTTATGAGAAAATTATTACAAGGTATATTATAATGGTTAGTATTAGATTTTGTGACTGTTTTGTAATCTCTTTATATTCTATCCCTTAGCATTTTCTATTTTTAGAAACCCAGACACGTATAAAATAAAATTACTAAAAATTTGTGTGTTTTATTTTTTACCTATTTAACATTTTATGTCTTCTTCATGTTAACAATGATAACGATGGAAAGATGGAAGTGTACAGAAGGTTTAATACGAGTTCGTTATATAGCACATTTTAGACGTTCGGCTCTATGATTGGCTTACTCCAATAATCCAATTAACCTACCAATCTCAGGGCTAAACGTGGTTATTATTTCGGTCGTAAAATACACACACACACTTCTATAAGACTGAAGACTATAGCAGACAAACGGGACAGCCCTATACTGGGGCATTGGATACGCCTGCATGCTATTGTGGCGTAAGTCATGTTTTAATTGTAACTGGTAATTTTAAGTACTAAAACTAGTTTTATAAGTTGTTTGTTTACTAACCAAATGGATTTAAGTTGTCCGAAATAAATAAATAAATTAAATTAAATTATAAATAGGTAAGGGTGAGTAGGTAGTGTACCTATTATAGTTTTAATAACAAGCACGAATAACTATCGCAATCGTAACGCTCTGATTGGCCGGCTCCAGTGAACCAATCAGAGTACCGATAGTTCTTCGTGCTTGGCACTCTGGACGCACCCTTGTCTTTTATGCAGTGTAAACTGTTATTAGAACCATAATAGGTACACTGGCGAATGTCCCGCTCAAAAGCCGTTTGCGGGCTGCCCGCGTGCAATCACGGCAATGGATTGGTGTTCAACATAAATTACAAACAACACGCTTGGTATCCTTCCTTACTAATATTTTAAATCGGAAAGTGGGTTTGTTTGTTTGTTCCGCTTTCACGCCGTAACTACTAAACCGATTGCTTTGAATTTTTGCAGACGTAAAGTTAGAAGTCCGGATTAAATAATAGGGCACTTTTAAAAGAAAAGTATTGGTATAGATGGCGCTGTGCGTATTGATATATATGTCACATAGGTTACTTTTTATCCTTTTGTGACGCGAGCGAAGCCGCGGGTAAAAGATAGTAAATAATAATTTTAAATGCTTGCATTCAGCTCGCGGAGTTCGCGATCTATGCATGTGCCAGATGTGGACGCACCTTAACATCACGCCTTTTATTTCCTGAAGGTATGAGCAGTGGTATTCAATATACTAGACTCGGACTCCATGTTATTACATAACATAACAACACACCTTTTATGCCCGAAGGGGTAGGCAGAGGTGTACATTATGCCACTGTACGATGTAACACCCACTTTTCACTATTTATGTTATGAGTCCCATGTAATAGGGTGCCATATACCAGGTTCAATTCTAGACTCCGTGCTACTACTGTTAAAATTTTATGTCTGTAAAGATTGAAGAGCCACATCAGATTTTTTAAAATCTGATCTCGCTATTATTAACAGCAGTTTATCTTATTTTGCAGCACGAATTCTAGATTTAGCAGCAAAATATATCACTAGTTATTTTAATGCAAACATGGCTCCTCAATCTAAACGTTTGAATTGAGGAGCCACCTAGAACTCGTTAAGTATTAGATGAATATTTATGAAAATTTTGTATCATTTAGTAGTAATTTTGCACATTACCATATAAAAATTTGGCTTTGCTATAATTAAAGAAAATACAATACTTTTCATATGGCTCCTCAATCTAAACACAAGAGGTTTATTTCTATTGGATGTGAGCGATTAATTAATATATTCACATATTGATAATTTAGCAGGTGTTGTGTTTGTTTTTGCAGTATAGGAATAAAGTAGTAAAACAGAGTAAATTTTGTATATGAACACGTTTTCTTTGGCTCCTCAATCCTGACGTTCTAGTTATGTATATTTGACTGTAGCCACCTGAGATCTCAACGGAATCTAAAGCCAAGAGACTAACATTTAGTAAAAATGTCTGCTAAATATATCTGCACAGTTCAGCAATGTACATACATATTTTGGATTCTGAGAAAATAATACTTACCTATTTTTTTTTAAATTCACTGTGTAGGGTTACATGAATTTTTTGAAAGACCAAGTAATACTTTGCCCGACCCGGGAATCGAACTCGAGACCCCTTGCCCGGCAGGCGCACTTGCGATGCAACCAGTCGGCCAATGAGGAAGTCCATGTTATTATTTATATTTATAAAAATTATATTACATATACTTTGCCTGACTGACTGATAATTACTTTTTGTATTTGCTTCATGCCCACCACCCATGTTCATACCTACCAGATGTAATTAATGCAATTGACAGTAACAGTTTCATTGCAATTTTTAAAATATTCCCTCTAATACAAAAATAATAAAACCCATAATTATTTGTATAAATTTATTTACAAATTAAAAAATATTAGTTAATCTTTTAAATGTACTGTTACAGCTATTAGTTTGGGTTACAATTATGTGAGGAACAATATACTGAATGCCATAATAATACAAGAAACTGCAACATAGGGGGACTTCCTCTCGCCA